TATTTTGATCTTACAGTCTGTAATACTTTGTGAACCAAGCTGAACTAAAGTTTTTATCTCGCTTGTTCATGGACAATATCCCCATTTAGATTCTATATCGGTTTGTGTTTACTTTGTATCTTTTTACGGAAGTAAAACTATAATTATAGAAGAATTCTTACTCTGGACTTCATCTGCCTCCTTGTTTTGAAACCTCTAACTTGTCAGGAGGCCTGCTCGTTGCTGCCCCTCTCTCGTTGGCCTCAGATCATTGATTCGGAGGAGAACTTTAAGAAGAAGTTCCCTGGCATCTACAAACCTCGTAAACCAGAACAAGCTTCCGCTTACTTAGACTTTTCAGTTTCCAGCACTGGTGTGTCGCCTTTATACATTTTATACTCTCCCAATCGTATATTTCACCTCATATATTATCCCAAAAATTTTCACATAAATCTTTATTTTTTGGCTTTAGCACTTATTTATTTGATGTAAAAAATCTACCTAATCGTTATTTCTATTTATTCGACATCAATTTCCTCATAATTCGTTCATCTTTCCAGTAGGTTTATATCCTTGAAATGCAGAAGTAGATTGAAACGAAATGCCTAACTCGTCAGAAGTATTTTAAATGATTTTCGCCCTATTATTTTATCTGAATTCCTTCATATTTCAATGCACGATTAGCCCTTCACAACCTTTTTTAAATGTTTTTGGTGTTATTACAGCCCTCATTATCCCCACAATTTCTAACTCTATGTACGTTATCCAATGTTATGGCAATAGCTGGTATTCAAATTGCTGTATGATATTCTTCCCATTATCTATATATTCATCGGTATTCCTAAATAAAGATCGACTACTTTGGTTCGAAGATAGTCCTTGTGCTTAACCCATATATATAACTGCATATAGTAGTTAATGGGTGTTTTGACAAACCCTTTTAATAGGCATTACTTTGTTTTTTCTACCTTCATATTTCTTAAAAAATACTATTTACCTTACATATTCGTCGAAACCTTTTTGCTCTTTAGTTATTTTTAAAAATCTAATTCTCTTGTTTAGGCACTCTCTCTGGTGTCCGTGTAACTCACGCTGTGGCTAGTGCTATTTGCCGTGCGCAAAAGGTTCAATGTGAATTTTATCCAACTCGGGAGGTTGTGCTCTGTCTAGAACCTTACACGGGAATCGGGTTCACACTTTGGGCGCTCACTTCAGTTTATTGTGGTCACCACTCTATTTTGGTGCCGCCCAGCGCCTTAGACACAGCACCAGAGTTATGGCTTTCTCTTTGCAGCCAGCGAAAAGGTGTGTTCATTTTACATCTTATCTATACATTTGCTTTTAGTGCTAGTTTGTACGATGATAATGACTTTAAAATTCTATGCCGACACATTTGTATTTATCTCATGGAGATAATAATTTCTAATTCCAAATTTACCTTCCAAAGCTGAGCTTATTTAAATGCCTTGGTTAGACTCGAATTAATAATCAATTTTTTACTTTTTCATATATATATATATATATATATATAGCTTCTGAATAAGAGTATTGGTTTTCCATTAACGAGAAAATGGGGATTATTAACTAATGAATACTCATATTCTACTGTTTTGTATCGATAGTTCCTTAAATCAAAAAATGCATTAACTGATATTTATATTTTTATGGGTATAAAAAAATTAAGTTTTTATCAGAAAGAAAGCTGTGCCCTTCAATTCTATTTGCTTTAATCATCGACAAAAATTAGATTTTGTCAAGTCTTCTGCCTTATACGCACTCCCCTTTTCTACATACATATTATAATAATCACTCCGATTGCGCAAGGTCGGACACGTCTGGTTTTGTTGATGAGCCTATTTTTTGTTTTTGGTCTTAATG